GACAAGCTCTATGGTTGAAGTGAGCCCTCTATCCAAAGGTGATGGTACCCAATAAGGTCTAGTGAGCTTTGTGACATGGGAATAACTTGTTACAATGTGGTCTATACTAGATGGCAACCGTACAGGGATGTGCTTCTAAGCAGATTGCCGTACCCCTTAATCGGGATCGGAGACTTAAAGAGATTACTTAACGCGGGATCAAACTTGTCCTACTTAGGATATGCCCTCTACTAACTCTCTAGCTAGCGCACATTAATAGTAAAAAAAAAAAAAAAAAAAATCATTTTTGCACATCAATTTTAGGTGTAACAGTAGTTACAATTGTAATTTTTAAGTTAATATTAAATAATATTATAAAATTAGATATAAATATTTTAAAAATGTAACTAGTTATTAAAGACTAGTTTAATATTAATGAAAATAATAAAGACAAAATAGTTTTTGAAACAAAAACTTTTGAATTTAATGAAGTAGATATACGGATCTAATAGTAATAGTAATTTTAGTAAATTTGAAAGTTAATTTGAAAATGAAAATAAAGAGAATAAAAACAATAAAGAACATGATATTATTATTAAGCAAAAAAGACAAAAAATTTAACTTTTTGTGTATTAATTAATAAAATCAAAGGAAAAATTCAAAAGTGTAAAAATACAAAAAGTTTTTGAATATTATGATAATTAGTTAAAATATGATAAATAGGTAGTAAAAAAATTTTAAAAGTAGGTGAATTCTTGAAAAAGTTTGAGATATGCAATTATCACTTTAACTATGATCAGAATAAATTACATGATTCAAAAATTAAACAAACATCATTTACAACAAATAGTATTTTTTATAGGTGAAGGTGTTTTTTTTGTGAAAAACTTTTTTTATTTTTTTAGTTGAGGTGATGGTTGCTCAAAGCATTCTAGAAAATTATTTAAAAAAAATATACAAATTGAATAGACAATTTACATGTCTTATACTTGAAGATTGTAATCTAATTTGTGAACTAGCCTTTATAGATATTAAAAATTTACGTTACATTTGTTCAAAATATTATGAATAGGTACTTTCATATAAAATCTGACAAAGATAAAGTATTAAAAACTTGCTTTCATAATCAAAATGTTAAAAAAAATTTAGAAATAATTGTATATTAGTTGTTTTATATTAAAAATAATAAATAAATACAGAAAGTCAATTATCTTCTAATACACCTCTAACACTATTAAAACTTTCTACTTTTTTTATGATTCAGACATTAACACATTTGAATCGCATTCCAATTTATCCTAATAAAATAGAATTTAAAGAAAAAGATTTGATAAATTTGAAAAAATAACTGGTAATAAATTATGGCAATCATACAAATACTTAAAAGCAAATCAAAGTAATCTTCAATCACCAACTAGTATTACTAAATATATTGAAGCATTTTCTAAATTTTTAAAAGTATTTTTGAAAAAATGTTTTTATAATTAGAATCAAAAAAAATAAATCAATCTAATCAAAAAAAAATATTATAAAACAAACTTTTAAGACAATCCAATCTTCAAAAAATAAATAAATCCATTTTCTTTTTACTTTCAATACTAGTAGGGTTCATTTTTTTTTATTTTAATCTTTGGCTTTCTATTATATTAGCATTAATAGGAGGATTTTTACATGATTGGCTGATTATATTACACAAATTTTGTAATTGATATTATAAATATTTATACATATCACATAATATATAATAACTATTATGTTATATTTAAGCTATTTAATTTTATATATTAAATTAAAAATACTAAAAATAAAAAGAGTAGTTTAATTTATTAATTTTATATAAAAAAAGAAAATTGTAAAATATTTTTATTGCTATTAAAATTTTTATAATGCCTCTTCTAATGCATTTGTTACATATTTTACTAATTCTCTTTTATTATCATTATCACAAAGAATATTATTTTCTAGTTCGATAACCTATTCTTTTTGTTTTTTATCTAAATTTCATAAAGATTGTAGTAAGGATTGAATATTTTCATCAACACTATTACGTAAAAATAAAAAACAATGTAAACATTTAAACCTATTATTGCTGTAATAAGATCTATAATATGTATAATCACAAGCTAAAACTTTGATATGATTGTCTGTATTAATAAATGAAAAAATTAAACAATTAAATTCATCATAGTAATGAAGCTGACATGGTTTATGTGTGATATTGAAACTTAAGGAAAGATGGTATAATTGTGCTTTCAGCATTTTTATTGCAACTAAGATAATATTAATACTCTTCTTTAGGCTAGATTTATCTATAATAAAAATAATATTAATGAATTATGATAAAAAAAGTGCATACAAATTTCTAAAAATATTGCAATAGAAAATAAGCACTTTTCTTTATTAAAGCTATTATATCTTGTGCAAAATACTCATATACCACCTATGTAGATATATATGCAAAATTTTTTCTAAATCTACTGTCATCCAAACATAACTAATTAATAAGGTATCTATATTTAATAATTTGTTATGCCTTTGTATATTTCTGTATACTCTTACGTAAAAAACTGTAAAATATTTCTATGGTTGAATCTAAGAACTTTGAAAGTTCAGCTTTTATAATTTTTAGAATTGGATGATTGTTTAACTCTCAATAGAAAATATTGAAAAGAAATATTAATGACATCTTAGTATAGTTTTTACAATAGAATCTAAGGAATAATATCTAAATACAAAATAAGCTTCTAAATAAGCATTAAAATTGTCTAATCAGAAAAACATAGCATAAATATCTAGTACAAATGGAATCATATTATCAAGAAGATCTTTAAGTGCAAGATATTTAGCATTCTTATACAAAGGTTTAAATTTCATTTTAATAGTTATAGAAATCTCTTGTCAAACATTGCGAAAAATCTCTAAAAGTAGGTTAATACATTAGGTTTAGGCTTTTGTGCAAGTTTCTTATTTTTTCCAAAATATGTGTATATAGTTGAGAAAAAAGGTTGATATTGAAGGAAAACCAATTCTCAGCTATTTAACAAAATATGCAAAGGACCTATAATAGGAAAAAAATAAAATATCATTAGTAATATTTGATGAATCATGATAATATAAGTAATGTGAAATAGCTATTTTAAGATAAATCTGTTCAGGTCAATTAGTGACAATAGAAATAATATTTCCTTACTGAATATACTGCTGCATAAATGAAATGTTCACAATAATATTAATAGCTCTAATGTATGCATTTATAGAATGAAGGTCATTTTCCTGTAAATCTATAAGAATAACATCTTTCATCAAACAAACATTTCATTTTTCCTTTATTCTAACATCATAACTATATACAGTTAGCTTTTCTAGTCTTTTATAATTGTTAACTATATAAAATTCTAAATGCTGATTATGTAAAAGACCATAAAGACTTATAAACTTATTTTTCATATTAATTTTAATTAAATCGACATCAACTAGTATAGGATTATATATATTCATCTTTGAAATTACATGTTATGTCATAATTGGATTCACCAGAATTGTTCCTAAATGAATAATAGTTGATGTAGTAGTTGTATTCAGCATTCATTTCATATAAATGCTATATTAATTGTCGATATTTAATACTATTGCATTTCTCATACATTCAGCAAATGCTAAATTGACAGTCTTAGCATATTTTTTAGATATTATTACCTTATATCAAGAAACTATGTGAGAAATTATAGTCATACCTAAATTAATAAGGGTGTTTATAGAAGCGTCAGAAACATCCATGAAATCTAAATACATTACTAAGTCCCTTTAACATTATTAACAAATTTGTTCTGAATCTCACAGAGAAAGTAACATACAAACAGAAGCTATTTTTTACCTGTACTTGTGAATCTCTATTTTTTGAAGAAGAATTAGATGATAAATATAATTCATCAAAAAAAAAACTTCAAATTTGCATTCTTTTCTTCTATAACTTTGCAAAACTCATCATATAAATATAAAGTTAGTTTTTTTCCCTATTTTCACGATTATATAAAATATTAGTCATTATTTCTATTACTTTAAAGAATTCTATTATAATAGTTTAAGCAGATTATATCTTTATTTGTATATAATTTAGCAAAGTTTTATTGGTTTGATCTTTCACAATAATATACTCAGTTATCTTTTTCCATTTTATTAACTTTTGGCTTTAGCATATTGTAATTACATATGGTTCAGTATTTATACTTGCCTTTTAAGTAAATACCTTTAAAATTAGGATTATTTTAGGATTATTTTGCATAGCAAATATTAATACACCTTCAAAACTAAAAGAAATTTTTTTTCATATTTTTTATATGTGAAATGTTACATTCTCAAAAAGTACTCTAAACTGTATAAATTTAATTGAATATGATCAACTAATCACGTAAAAGTCTTCCTATGATATTAGTATTCCTATATAGAAGACCAAAATTAATTTTTTTGCTCTATTCATTATTGACAAAATGTTCAATAATTAGACATACAAATTGTTATAAGAAATAGTTAAAAAAGGTAAGAATGCAAAATATTGATTCTACAAAATGATTAATAAAAGAAAATAATATATTTAACTTAGCTATTATCAATAATATAGACTTTAAAGAAATATTAGTTTTAGTTTAGTTTTAGTAATATTTATGATGTAATGTGTGAAACATCACATATAAACTTTAAAAATAGTATTTTAATCAATATTACCCATATCTATTAATGAAACATACGAAGAAATTAGAGAATTAGATGCAGATACTCTTCTTTTTAGAATGATAATGGGAATGCGTATAATGTAAAATAAAATAGATGATATTTTTGAAAATTTTAAACAAATGAGAGTAGAAATATAAGTTATAATAAAATTTAGATATTGAGACAATTGAAAGGAAATTATTAAACAATGTGATTTTGGTTATTTAATTTTACACCCTAATGTAGTTATTTTAATACTTACTAATTTTCTAAATAATGATAGTAAAATTTTTTGTATTACACAAATGTATAAAGAAGAGTTTTTATTAAATAATAATAGGTATCTAATATTTGTGCAGATGAAGCTATCTTTAGAAGATTAATTAAAGTATATACTCAATGGGAAAAAATAGACCTATATTAGGTCAATAGCATACTTTGAGAGACATGCTTAATATTGTACTTACTATTTTTTAAACTATGGGATCTTTTATTTAGCTACAGCTATTAGTATTCGATTTTTAAACAAGTTTCAAACTATTATTGATTATAAGTCAACAAGAAGAGTATTAAAATTAATATAGGTCATTACTGGAGTAGCAATTCATATTTATACAAAAAAGAATATTAGTATTGAAGAAATTTTAACTTTACCAATAGATGAAAATTTATGTATCAAAGCTTGGTATTTTTATTATAAATATTTTACTATGTGTAAAAGTCATCTTATTAGAATACATATTGAAAATTATGAATTACAATGTGATAGTCTAACAGCTTTTGCTCCCCTTTTTTTAGCTGCAGAAAAAATAACTATACAACTTTTGTAGCTCACTTTCTATCAATTCTTAAGAAATATTCCAATTTAGAAATAAAACTCCAACATTATGCTTTTATTAATTTGGCAAAAAAGATCATTATCTAGCATTTGATGAAGTTTTAGAAATACATAAAATCAGATATATTAAACAAAAATATAATTAAAAATGTTATTCATTAAGAAAATTTAAATCTTCAAATTAAAGCTACCTAAGAAGAAAGAGAAAGAATTAATACATTATTAAACAAGTTTTTGGATCTATATAATTATAATAGAAAATATCATAAGGTAAATAATTGAATTGATCTTTTATAGAAATTAATAGAAGATTTAGTTAAGGTATTTCAAATGGATAATTATACAGAACATGAACTTTTCAAAAAAAATCCACCTTTACAATTAATCTCAGAAGGATTAGAAAAATTAAATAATGCTTATAAAGAAGGACTATAAAGGATAAAAGATATATATCACTAAGAGATTATTAAAACTGAAAGAATAAATACAAAGGAAAGATGTCATTTGAAAATAATTAAAACTGATATAGATCAATTGCAAAATCTTCACAAAAAAGAAAAGCTTCAGAAGAAAATAATAAAATTACATTTCGTAAGATTTTTAAAGTTTTTCAATTAAGCAATAAAAATTCAAATGAATAATCAAATACTTCAAATAATGAAAACTCTGTTCCTAAATGTTTAAAAACAGCTACAATAGATGAAGAGAAAGAAATATTAAATACTATATTACTTAAAAATACAATACCAATAGAAGAAGAAATTAATAATATTTTAAAAATGTTATCATTTGTATAGAATAATTAAAGAGTTAAGCATTATTATAATAATAATAAAAAAAAGAAAATCAATAATAATTAAAATAAATTTCACAATTATTATATAAAATTAAAAATTTGACTTAACATTAAAACTTCTGATTAAATTACTTTTTATAGCCTAATTTTATTTAAAAAGAATATGTTTATTTATCTATTCCAATAAAAAATAAGTTTATAAAACTTCTAATTCAGAAGGATCTTGAGCAAAAAAAACAAAATAGTACTATAAAGTTTATTATATAATAACCTTTAATTTTAGATAACAATATATAAAAAAAATTATAAAAATTATAAAAATAAAAGTTAAAAAACAGTTCTTTAATAATATTATTTAAATAAAATTCATTTTAAAGTGAGTTATTATATATGTGAAGTTTTTGATTTAATGTTACATAAAATTTTATCATTAGTAAATTAGTGTAATGTGAATTTGTTTAGTGATTGTTAATATAATATATGTAATTAATTAAACTTTATAATTTTTATTATTTCTTATTTTTTTTATTTTCTTTAAGTACTTTGATTTAATAGATTTAAAAGGTATAATTTATCTTTTACACAATAATAGTAAAATAAAAATAGGATATTAGAATAAAATTTAAAATAGTATTCAAAAAAGGTTTTAATATTTTTTTAACTTAATTACTACTATTGATTATAAGTATTAATTTTAGAATTTATATCAATTTAGCTGTTTTTCTTGCTATTTAATATTCTAGTATCTAATTTAGCATGAATTATCTTACTAAATAGCATGAATTATACTGTATCTTTTAGTATTTTTAGCTTATTTAAAACTTAAACAGAATATCAAAAAATACCATTTTATTTAGGTTTGAAATGACATAATATTAGGAAGTTTTAAGTTAATTTTATAGAATTTTTGCAAACTCTTATTATATACTAATTTTTGTAATATACTAAATTAATTCTAAAAGTGATTCAAAAGTATAAACAAAAGTTATAAAGTCTAACCTTTAAATACTAATATACTAAGATTCACTTTTATGAAGACAAATTTAAATGTTATCAAATTTAAAATTTAAGAATTATTGAATCTATTCTAATATACTAATATATTTTGTTATATAGAAAACAATTCCAAAGATAAATTCTTTAAACAAATATTAAGATAAAAAATAGATATCAGATTTTAAATCAAAGCTGTTTAGATCATCTTTTAACATATTTCATTTTTCATTATATAAGAAAATATTCTAGAACTAATTCTTTTAAAAAACTAGAATAAAAAATTACATCTTTAAAGTATACATATATTAAGTCTCATCTCTAAGTTTTATCTTAAAGATAAATATATACTATATCTCACTTTTAAGTCTAACTTTTAAATATACATACATTAAATTTCACCTCTAAGTCTCATCCCTAAAGTAAACATATACAGAGATCCTAAAAGACTATATTTGCTAAGTCTTACTTTTAAGTTTCACTTTTAAAGTAAAAAAAATTAAACTTCTAAAAAATATATATGTTAAATCTAAATTTTAGAAATATATGTTAAGTCTTACTTTTAAATAAACATATGTAAAGAGATTCTAAAGGAATCACATCAACTAAGTCTTACCTTTAAATAAATTAGAATATTCAAGATCTGATCCCTTTGAAATCTCTAATTTCAAACCTTATTCTATAATTTATTATAATATTATTTTATATAATAACCGCTGATATATAAAGCATATCAATCATAAGTAATAGTAATAGATTTACTATAATTAATACAAGATTAATGCTTCTTAGTCTTATAATAATTTTGATATTTCTCAAGTCAAGTGTAGGCTTTATTATAAATTTTATTAGAATTATGAAGATAGTTACAAATATAAGAAATTTTTATTTTAAAAAATTTTAATTAAACAAAATTTTATATTATATAGAAAAGAGCTTAACAAATATACTTTTACAATAAATACATAAATTTAATTAATTAAATTAAATTTACTATACAGAAAATTAAAAAGATTTTACTCAATATAGTTAAAGTTAAATTATATTATAGAAAATTAAAAGATAGAAAATTTATATAAAATTATAAAGAAAAATTAAAAAATTACACTAGTCAGAAGATTTAAATAAATATATTCTAAAAAATGCAAAGAGAATATTTTT